GGCTCAAGACGCCTAGTACGTGTGAGGCGTGCGAAAGAACTGGTACAGTTAACCCTCTCCCAATGAACACGATCAACGTTGTCCACAAAGAAAATGGAGAGATTACTCAAGCTTGGGATGATGTCACAGGAAACGAGCTCGACCCTAAATTGACTGTGAAAGCACGTCAAGAAGAAATGGAACAATTCAGAAAACACAAAGTTTACGAGAAAGTGAAAGAGGAAGTATGCTGGCAAATCACGGGGAAGGCGCCCATCGGAACCAGATGGATAGACATTAACAAAGGAGATGAGTTAAGCCCAGACCACAGGTCAAGGCTGGTAGCCCAGCAAGTTAAATACAACTCCAAAGAAAAGAACATTCGCAGCTACACCTCCACTGGAAGCGCAAAAACTGCTTTTCTCAATGGCAGTTACCGAGGGAGTTGGATTCACGAACGGTGAGCGTGAGAAAGGATTAAAGCTAGCATTCATTGACATCAAACGAGCTTACGTTTACGCTCCAGCAAAGAAAGACATATTTATCAGGTTACCAGACGAAGACTATGAACCAGGTATGTGCGGAAAGCTGTTAAAATCAATGTACGGAACCAGAGACGCTGCGAGCAACTGGGAGGACTGTTACATGGACTTTGCTAACGAGGCTGGGTTCAAGAGCGGAATTGCGTCACCATGTGTGTTCAAGCATGAGAGTCGAGCGTTATGGTTAACAGTTCATGGAGATGATTTCACGCTGTTAGGAGGTGATCATGATCTCGACTGGTTTGAAAATAAAATGAAGGAGGAGTTTGAAGTGAAAGTGAGAGGACGACTTGGACCAGGGAAGGAGGACATGAAAGCAATCAGAATTCTTAACAGGATTGTGGAATGGACCAAGCAAGGATTGAGGTATGAGGCAGATCAAAGGCATGCAGAGATAATTGTGAAAGAGCTTGAGCTAGAAGGAGTAAAGGTGAGGACTGAAGTGCCAGGTGAGCGAATTCCAGTTGAAGAGGGAGATGAGGAAGAACTTTCGCCCAACATGACTAAAAGATATCAAGCGTTGACGGCCAGAGCAAATTACTTAGCTCAGGACAGGTCTGACATACAGTATTCGGTAAAGGAACTCGCTAGGACCATGTCAAAGCCCACGATGAGTTCTTGGAAAGGTTTAGTCCAGTTAGGAAAGTATTTGAAGTACCACAGCAGAAGCAGCTATGTGTATCAATATCAGGAGCAGCCCCAAGAATTAACTATTTGGACTGACACGGATTACGCAGGATGTAAGCGAACGAGGAAGTCTACGAGTGGGGGAGTAGTGATGTGGGGTAAACATTTCATAAAGTCTTGGAGCACGACTCAGAGTGTAATCGCGTTATCGTCAGGTGAAGCAGAGTATTATGGACTGGTGAAAGGAGGATCAGTGGGTTTAGGACTTCAGGCAGTATTGAGAGACTTTAACTTGGAAGTTGAGATTACAGTGAAGAGCGACGCCACAGCTGCGATTGCCATCGCGAGCAGACGAGGCTTGGGGAAAGTAAGACAGATCGAGGTATGTCAATTGTGGTTACAGCAGAAAGTTAAGGAGGGAGTGATTCGTATTGTGAAAGTAGGGACACACGAGAATGCAGCAGATGCGTTGACCAAGTATGGCAGTCGTGAAAGCATGAGCATACATCTACGAAACACGAATCAATGTGCATTAACAGGCAGGCATGAGCTTGCACCAGCTACCGAATGTTGACGCACCGAATGTTGATGTTCGCAGCTCATTTCTATCAAGCAAACTGCAGCTATTAAAGGCCTTCTCCACCCATTACCTCTTACTCTTGGGCGTGAACGAAGGCATGGCGGCTCCCCAGGTCAACCTCACCATCAACGGCTCCATGGTCGACCAGAGCCCGGCTGGGGATGGACCAGTTACGCGTGAGAACCTCAACCGCCGTGTTGACGACATGGTGCACGTTGCTCACGCGTTTACCGTAACCCTCACTAACATGGCGATTAACTTCCACGGAGCCTACGACAAACACGTTGACGAGGTGCAAAGGGCCGCGGATGACATGGCGAAGAGGATCGAGGAGTTAACGCGGCAGAACGAGGCGCTGATCCAGGACAGTGACGACGTCAACGAGAATCTCCAAAGGGCGCAGGCGGAGATTAACGCTCTGATGGCGACGATTACGGACCTGAACATTCAGAATCGCGACTCGGGAGTTAACACGGAGGAGAATGCAACCAAGTATAGGCGCATCAACGACAACATTGGTTACCTCCTGAACACCGCCAAGCGCCTTACCGATAACATCACGCCCCTGCAGGACTTCGAGGGTAAACGTGATGCGGCACTACGCCTGTTGGTGGCAGTAACAGAGAGGCTGGAAGGATTACAGAGGTTCTTGCATGACCCGATCAACTCCCCGGTTACCAACATCCCGCAGGTTCCTCCGCCGTTACCCGAGCAGCCCCCAACGGCAGTGGCCGCCAAGGCACCTCCCACTGCAGTCAACGCGGCGGCCGGGGCCAGCCAGCCTCTAGCCCGAGCTGCCGCAGCATCGGGTGCACCCCCGGCTCAGGGCTTTACCGGCACCACGCCCAAGACCGGAGGGTTCGGTCGATCCGTGTCGCCGAATAAGATCCCGCAGTCAACGTCACCTCGACCTGTTTACAAGAAGGCACCCAAGGCCATGCATGAGCGTAAGCGGGAATTGGAAGAGTTACTGCAGCTGGGAATGAAGATGGATGAAGATCGTGCACAGGGCAGTCAACGTGACGAAGTATCAAAAGGCCCTGCCCCGGTGGTGAACGTGAGGGCGCCCAAGCCGCCTCCTCCAGGCCTTGGTGAGTCAGGTGCATCGAGCAGTGTTAGCGGCATGAATCCCCCGCCTCCGGTGCCCAAGAAGTTATCGACCCAGTATGTTCCTCCACCGCAGCCTCAAGCCGTTAACCGTACGGACGAGCAGCTTGCGGCATACTCGCGGAACATTGCCAGGGGCATGTACCGCCCACTGTACCATGTCAACGGCCGCGTGCCCATGGTGAACGACAGGAGCGAGGACCACGACGTCAACTACAAGGTGGAGCCCGACCCCAGGGAGGTAGTCGCGTTAACGATGAAGACACGCGACAACTGGCGCAGGTTCGAAGGCAACTTCGTCGGACATGTGGCAAAAGAGGGGTTAACGACTCCAGGTGGTCGATCTATTCCGGGCAACACGGGGCGGGAACTTAACGACTACGATGAGGTGTTCGTCGACATTTACGGGCAGCACGCCTACGGCTTCCTTGGTTACTCCGCGTTGAAGGGCCCAAGCAGCTGGAGGTCTCAGTTGACGGAGAAGGAGCTGGAAAAGCACGACGAGTGGGTTGACGCGGTCGGGCACGTACAATCCCTGTTCGACGACGAGTACGTGCCGCCGATTCACGTTAACGATCTCCATCCAGTGCGGTTCGACGTTCACAGCTGCCCAGACACACAGGTCTACGTCAACAAGTCACCAGAAATGAACGAGAAACAGCTTAACGGCCTTCTGCTAACGTGGGCCGGGACGCTGCCCCACGGCAACCCCACCGTGGTCTCCGTTAAGCACCTGGTGGAAGACACTTACGGACCGCACGGCTACATCTCAACTGGGGTTACCGTGATCAGGTTTGCGACGCACGACCTTGCCGAGCTCGATTGCCGTTACATGAACGGGCTCCAGGTGTATTACCGCAACTACTTCATCGAGGATCTCGGGGTCAGGAGCGCCGAGGAGTTAAAGGGCAGCATCAACAAGCCTCCGGTTTACTGGCACCAGACCATCCTGGACGTCGCTCTTAACGATCAGGGGTCCATGAGGGCACTCTACCGTGACAACTGGCCTGCCGATCACATCACCGAGCGTAAAAGTGACCACCGCGAGAAGCTCTGTTGGTTTGGGTGGTTGCCGTGCGACGACTTTGCCAACTGGCTTACCGACCCGGCCTGGACTGTGAACCCGTTTACCGGAGTTGCGGTCGAGGAGCACCTCCGCAACAATCCAGGTGGTAAACCTCTGCTGAAGGCTCCCCACGCCAGTTACTGGAGGGCCATCGGTACTTACCACAACATTGTTGACGGGTCCACCAAGAGCTTTGACGAGGGGTGCTGGCTGGACGACGAGGAGCGCATTAACGCGTACCTGGACACCGACTATTACAGCCCGACGCAGGCCCTTAACAGGGTGTCGTCCTATACGGCGGCCAGCGTGGGGCACCGTGGTTTACCGAAGTCCAGGGGCGCGCGTGCTCCGTCAGTGAGGCGCCCGCGCCGCTCGTAAACGGTGACAGGTGACCGGCATGTCTTTCTTTTACGCTCGCTCTCATCTCCCCTCTCAACCAGGCTTAACAATAGCGTTGCAGTAGACTATTGAGCTGAATCTATTTGCATGTGCATCTTTTATAGTTACCGCAGGTATTGGCGCATAAAAAGCGAAAGCAATCAAAACCATATAAATGCTAGCCTGCCGTGTGAACTTTGGATGCTACGTTTAAACTCGTAACTGATTGAATGTTTACTTGAGCTCACGTTGCATGTCTGAGAGACGTGGTGCTCGTGAACGTTGTTACGAGATATTTCGAATTCGGTGGTGTAACGATATTCATGCAGCCTGTCGCTTGATTTAACCTGTCTTTGTGTTTACAAGCACCTCCCCGTCAGCCAATGCGGACTGGCGTCCGAGGGGGGGTGTTAACATGCAAGCATGCGTGTGACAGGGGAGGAATAGTAACCCCGCTGCCTTTGGCTCAAGTGTTTAACGGTCGAAGCTACATCGACCTGCTTTGCCGTTCGGGAGTATAAAGGTGACCTATCGTTATCATTGTCGCCAAGCTCCCGTGCAGAACCCTCCTCGGGGTTTTGGAGGAGGGGAGGGGAGGAGGAGGAGGAGGAGGAGGGGAGGAGGAGGAGGAGGAGGAGAGAGGAGGAGGAGGAGGAGGAGAGATGCTCGTCTGTCCTAGGTGTACTCTAACAGAAGATAGTACTTAGTAAAGACCACCCAGGAGCTGCGGACGCCCCGCGGGTGCCTACGGCACGGTGACGGATCCCGATGCCCTTGGAGCGAACGTCGAGCACTACACCAACGGCGAGGGGCCCAGCAGTGCCGTGCCCACCGCCCAGATCACCTGGCCCTCGGACTCCACCGCGGTGGACGAGGGCTGACAGTCTGGCGCAGCCGACGCCCGCGCCGCCGACGCCCGCGCCTCACGCCCGCGGACTGCTGGGATCGCGTGCTGGACGGGGAGGTTGGAATGGCACGGCGTGGGCGGGCGCTTGGCACGCCTGCGCGCGGCACGCGGAGAAAAGCGTGCATGCGCCTGTCGTTCGGCTGAAAATTCAGGGACGTCGGCAGGATGGCCTGCGAGGCGTGCTGCGCACGCGCCGCGATCCAGCTCGCCACGCATGGCCGCACCGAGTCGCCGAAGTTTTGGGCGGATCGGCCGGCGAAGTACACTTGCGCCACGACCCCGACTGAGCAGTGGTGCGCCCCCAAGGGCGCTTATGGGCTTGGCCAACCCGAGCACTCAGGCCGCTGTTGTCGCATCGCCTGCAACGGTCGACGAGCCGCGCGCCGAAGGTCACTCTTGCCGCAGGTCTCTCCTACGCAGCCGATTTGGGTCGTTTGCCCCGTTCCTGGGGCCCCATGCCCGTCTCAGCCAGACGCTATGCAGAAATGGCCTCGCCCTCGGCGCATCTTCCCTCCGGCGGAGGCCGACGGAAGCAAAATATTGCGGCGGCCCCACCAGCGGAAGTCGGCGGAAGTAAAAGCGAAGCCGTGTCGGTTCAAGGATTCATCGGCCGCCCCCGCTCCGAGCTGGGTCGCAATTTCCAATTCCCAGCCCGACCGTGCGCAATGGTTTTTGTTTACCCTCTGTCAGCGCCGCCACAGTATCCAGCAGCGCTTCGACCACCCAGTACGAGAATCAGAATGATGTTGCGATCACCGAGGGCAATCATGTCTTCACCTACGGCCGTGGGCACCTTCGTCCTCGCAACCGTGGCCAACCGCGCCTTTGCCGATATGGACGACCACGCCTTCGGTTACGCAGCCAACGGAGCGAAGTTTTTGGTCGAGTATACGATTGAGCACCACTGCTGCGACGATGTTATTGTGCACTCCTATTGGTCGGTCAATGTCGGTGAGGTAAGCGCTGACCAGCGGTCCGACTGGTCTGAACTTCCACGTGCTGTGAGCGAAAGGAATTCGAGCTACTGGGAGGAGCGAGGACACAGGGAGAGGTGCAGCGCCCTCGGCGGGTAGTACGCGCGGCGCGTCTTTGGAGATGGTTAACATGTTCCTCAGTTGCCGTCGTCGCTTCGCCAGGGGTAGATATTAAAAAGTGGCATGCACGTTGACATCCCGGTTCTCGCTGTCAGGCATACCCCCATTCACGACGAACCCGTGATTCCTGCTTATCGACTGAGGTCCGGTTGTTGAATGGGTTCTGCGTTGCAACGAGCTGGTGCGTCTCGGGAGAGCCTGGGTTCGCGGCATCTCTCGCTACGCTTAAGTCGGGCCTGTCCCTTTTACAGGGGGAATATCCAAAAATAGTCCGAAATTAGTCCGGGGATTATGGAATGAGTATGTTTGGGCATCTCTTGAGTATTGCTTGAGTACTTTTAATTTTTCGTCCAAAATCCCCTTGTAGGGGGACAAGCACGACCTCTCGCTACGCACCTCTGACGGCAGGGAAAGACACAGGGCGTCTGCGGTGACCTCTCGGGGCCTCCTGCCCTGGGGGGCGCGCCTCCGGCCTGCCCCCCCCTTCGGCGTCCTCCCTGGCCCCCGCGGCGGGTCTCCAGGCGGGCTTTCGGGGCGGTTTCGGGGTGGCCCCGGGTTCCGCCGAGCGACCAAAGTTTGGCAGAGTGCGTTCCGCCGTCGGCCGCGCGGGCGGGACAAAGTTTTTTGTTTTTTTTTCTTCGCCCGCCGGCGCCAGCAAGTTTCAAAGTAATGTGCAAGTCGCCGCTCTTCGGCGTTGCTTGATGGCCGCCCACACCCCAGAAGGGGCCATGGGGGCTTCTCCTGCAGTGCCACCTCCATAGAGGCGGGGGCGCGGAGGGGCGGGACCGGGAGGTCCGCACGGCAAACGCCTTCGTGACCCAGCTCTGTCATCCCCATCGCTTAGTTCCCGCAGGCCACCGCGCTCGATATGAACTGCCATATCGTGCGCCACGCGTCGGTTGACATGTACCCGACGCCCCCCACGAAACGTCCACCCTGAAAGCACATTGGGCGCAGTGCGGCGAAGTTTTTCATATAAAACATGCAACAGCGAGACGTCACCTCGACTGCTGGAGGTGTTCGCGACCTGGGCGCCGGGTCCCCAAGCTCCGTGCGCGGCCTCGTGGCGGCCGACCACCTGGCCGACCAAAGAAGGCGATCGAGGATCTCCACGGCGGATCTCGAGCGGCGCGTGCACAGATCGAAGAAGCACAGAAACACAAACATCAATGTTCGGAGCTCCGCGCAGATTTCTTGGATCAGCGCCGAGCCAAGAAATCCGCGCGGAGCTCCGAAAACTCATATGTGTTTTTCTAACTTGGGCACTTCTCTTCATTCTCCTCTTCGTCCTCCTCATCTTCCTCCTGCTTGTCATCCTCCTCCGCCGCCTGGTTTCGTTTCTGGTCCTGTTGCTGCTCCGCCTCGCCGTCCTAGTGTCTCTCTCTCTCTCTCGCGTTCTCTCCTCTTAGCAGGAGGACAGGAAAGAGAAGGAGGAGGAGGAGGAGGAGGAGGAGGACGACGACGATGACGCCCACGCCGACGCCGACGCCGACGCCGACGCCGACGACGACGACGACGACGACGACGACGGACCAGGGATGCGAAAAATGAGAAGGCGAGAGAGCCAGAGAGTGATATAGAGTGATACAAAAGGAGAGGGGGAGAAAGGTATAGCGCACAGCAGTGGTGCTCGCTCGTCACGATATCCATGGCCCTCGTGGCGTTCTACCACGTGAAGGCCAGGCGACCGTCGCCGCTGAGACTATCATATGCGCAATCAGTCAAACGACATGTTCGCCCACTGTCTCCAGACTAGTCCCAGTGCCTGTGCTCGTGGCATGTGCGCGCGTGCACTTGTCGCACGATGGCGCGATTGTGCCACTCCAGCGCAGGAGAACGAGTGTGCGTGTGCGTGTGTGTGTGTGTGAATGTGTGTATGTGCTTGTGTCTCTGTGCGTAAGTGTATGTACATGCGTATGTGAGTGTGTGCGTTTGTGTGCCTGCGTGTACGGTCAGGAAAGTTGGCTCAGCGTGTCGCTCCGCCCGTTCTGGCCCACCACGCTTCGGCACGCTATCCACTTTCCCGTTCCCAAGCGTCCACGTCTCGAGCCTTTCCGAGCCTCCCGCCCCGCGGAGCGGAGCGACGCGCCATCCGCGACACGCGACTCAAAAGATCTTGATCATATGTGAGTGTGTGTGTGTGTTTGTGGTCGTGGTTGTGGCTGTGTTTGTGGTTGAGTTTGCGTTCGTGCTTGTGCCTCTGGTTGTGCGTGTGCATGTGCTTGTGTTCGTGCGTGTGCATGTGCGTGTGCGTGTGTCTGTGCCTGTGGTTGTGGTTGTGTTTGTGTTTGTGTGTAGTTGTGGTTGTGCTTGCGTGTGTGCGTGCTGGGCTGCCGGAGGGCAGCGGGGAAAGGGGGCGGAGGCGGTGTCCTGCAGGCGAGAGGGGCGGGGGCGGTGCCCGTCATGGGGGGGAGGGAGGGGGGGGTGCGACGCGAGAATGGAATGGTCGGGGCGCATGGGGCAATGGGCTGCTGCAGGACAGTGGGGAGAGGGGGCTCGGGCGATATCCTGCGGGGGGGGGAGGGGGGGGGGGGTGCCCTGGTGCGAAGACGAAGTGGTCGGAGCGCAGGGAGGCATTGGGCGCAGAGAGCCTTAAGCTGCTGGGGAACACCTGGGCTGCCGGGAACACGCCGCTGACCCTTCCTGCTCGTCTCTCCCGTGCTCCATCCCTCTCCCTCCCGCACTGCCCCTTCACTCCTCCCTCCCTTCCGCCATTCCTTTCCATCTCTCTCTCTCTCTTTCTCTCTCTTGTGCTCCATGATTCTGCCTCCCGCTTGCCCCCTCCCTCTTCCGGACAGGATTCTCGCCACTTCAGGATCCGAGCTCTCCGGGCTGAGTTTGGACGCCGACGACATTTTTTGCTCACTCGCCCATCCCCAGTGAGGACCCTCATAGGCCTCACCAGTGAGGACCATCACGGGCCTCACACCCCTCGCAGCTGCCGTCGTAGGGGCTGCTTGGGGCCCGCCCCCTTCCACCACTTCACCAATGCACCAGCACACCACGCCGTCAATGGGCAATGGGGGTGCCCAGCACCTCCCTGCGGCCCCTCGGCCATCGAAGACGGCCGTGGGAAGGGGTCCAAAACGCACCTCCGCCTTCTCAAACCAGTACACAAAGGTGCAGACCATCATAGGCCTTACCATCCACCAGTCAACAAATTCATCACGTCCCTTCCATTACCCTCGCGTGCTTTCCTTGCCCTTGCGTCGTGCAACGTTTCCTCTTTTTCCGTTCTCGTTTCCCCTCTATCTGTGTCACACGGCCCGCCCGTCCTTGGTCGGGTCGCGTCTGCCCCTCCCCTCTGCCTCGCCACTATCCCTGGTTGACGCTCCTGGCCCTGGTTCCTTGCGATTCCTTACCGTTGTCCTGCATCCAATCGGGCGGTTGTGCCCCCATCAGATTGGGCGGCTGTTCCCTGTCAAAGCGTTGTTAACCCGGCATGGTGTTTCTCATTCGATCGACATGGCGTTTCTCATTCTCATCGGTTGCGGAAGCAGCCGAATGATGCTTCTCATTTACCCGACGGGTTTGGGGGGCTCTCTTCCTGGAGTCTCATCCAAGCCAGGGTGGATCACCACACAGCACAGCGCTTCTTGGCCCCATAAGGAGCTTTACCGACGGCCCCAGTGGCACCGCCTGCATGCGTTTCGCCAACCAGTACAGCGCTTCGTGGCCTCATCGGGAGCTCCAGCGAAGGGCACCGCCCGCATGCGTCAGCCGCCACCCAGTACAGCGTTTCGTGGCCCCGTAGGGAGCTCCACCGAAGGCCCCAGTGGCACCGCCCGCATGCGTCTCCGTGCTCTGTGTCGGAGTGACCTTCTCGGAAGGGCTCGGATGTTGCCGGCTGTCTACAAGTATGGAGTTGGCATCGTCAAGGGCTTCGCGAGCATGTTGCACGGCCTTGGGCCCGTTCTTCGGGCTCCGCGTGTGGCCACGCGTGCATTCTACCCATCGGTAGGGCGTTGCGCGTCATCATTCCCCCGTCGTGCACGCGGTGACTGGCTGTGCAACCACACTCCAGCCCGCCGACAAGAAAGTACGAACGGCACTCCAGCCCGCACTCCAGCACTGCAGCTACATCACCGCAGTTGTTCTCGACGGCTGCTGTCAGAGGAGTTTGGGTCAAGATGCAGGACGGAGGGGTGATGCATCTGTTTTGCAGAACGGCTGCAGACAGTCGATGGGGGCAAGAAGGACAATGAGGAGGAGGAGGAGGAGGAGGAGGAGGAGGAAGGGAGGGAGGGCGAGACGGCGAAGTGCGTGAGAGGAACTGGTTCGCAGCCTCTCCTGCCACGCTGTGCATCCATCCCCTCGGATACGCAACTGCACCTGTCGGGCCTGCAGCGAGAGGGGCCACGTGGATGCCCAGTGCGCTTGGAGTCGGGAGGAACCGCTTCTGGAAGTGCAGCCGATCACATGTGCAAAACAGCTGGTGGATCGGGATGTTGTTATTTCCCTCCTGCTCCTCCTCCTCCTTCTCCTCCTCCTCCTCCTCCTCCTCCTCCTCCTCCTCCTCCTCCTCCTCCTCTTCCACTCCTCCTTCCGCTGTGCTTCTGAGGGGCCAGGCGCCGACGATTGCTTCTCGTCCTGTTTCCCCCTGGCTATCCGCTCGGCGCTGGCTCGTTGTGGCTTCTCATGCCGCCCAGCACTGCACGGTGGGCCGAGGCGGCCTCCTCCAGGCCATGCCTGGAGGCGGCGGAGTCAGCACGGGGCGCAGCCCCCGTTTGTCATCTGGACTTGCTTGCGATGACGGCTGGCCCGTGGGGAAGTCGAACGACATCCCTCTTCCTGAGGACTCAGTAGCGACGTCGCAGGCGAAACTCTGCACCAAGCCTTCAGTAAGGTCCAAGCGTCCAAGCGCCTCATCTGACGAGAGCTGCCTCCCGTGCAACTGCCAGGCCGAGGTCAAGAGGGTAATCGACATCAAGGAGGGTGAGGACATGCAGTCTGGGCGCGGCATCGAGGCAAGCGGGGCTTTCCAGTTGCACCATCGTGCATGTATACAGTTTTATCATATACATGTACATGAATACGCATAAACATGTACGTATACACACACACCTACACACATGGACGTGCACATATCTATACATATACAGACTCGTAAGCATACGCATGCACGTAAACATAAGCATATACATATGCATGCTAGCCGGTGTGGACCCTAAGCAGTGCTCTAGCATACTAGGTGGTGAAATCTATGTGTTGCAAGCTATGTGGTGGAAGCTCTGTGGTGCAATATCCGTGGTGTAAGCTATGTGGTGCATGCTCTGTGGTACACCATGTGTGGTTCGAGTTATGTTGTGTAAGCTATGTGGTACCACAAATATATATATATATATATATATACATACATACATGTATGTATACTTGTGTGCGGTAGGAGTTAACGTGGCAGGAGTTAACGTACGCGTCCATGTGACGCAACATAAGTGATGTAAGAAATAGGGTGCCATCTATATGGTGCGAACTATGAAGCGTGAGCCATGTAGTGCAATCGACGTGGTGCAATACATGTGGTGCGATCTAGGGGGTGCAAGCAACGTGGTGCAATGTAACTGGTGCAATCGACGCAGTGTAACATATGTGGTGCGAGCTGTAGTGGTGCAACATATGCAGTGCAATGTATGTGGTTTGAGCTTTGTGTTGCAAGCGATGTGTTGCAATCTATGTGGTGAAAGCTATGCGGTGCAATGTGCGTGGTGCAACCGCCGTATGGTGTGCAATCCGTGCGGTATGGCCTGTGTGGTGCAACCTGCGTAGGGCAATATGTGTGGTGTACGCCATGTGATGCAACTAAGTTTGAAAAACTTGGAGTCGTCAGCTCCACTGCTCGCGCAACCACCCCACCCTCCAACCCGTAACTTGGGTTGCAAAACCCATGCGGCGGCGATTGCGATGATTGTTAAGCACTGGTTGGCGCATCTCTGCGGCCGCGCTAGCGCGCGCACGCTCGCGCGCAGAGCGCCCAGCTAGCTTGGCACAATCGACGCGGCCGCGGTGGCACTGACCGATGGGGACTTCCAGCGCGTCCCACAGGCCGCGCGTAAGTGCGGGTCGGTGATTCGGGCGGGCGCGGTATCATGGTGACGCCGGAAAGAACGGAAACGATCATTATAAGCGATGATGGTGACGATGATGACGATGACGACGGCAAGGCCAATGACGGCGCCGATGCTGGCCACGCCGATGACGACGATGATGTCCATGTGTCTGTTGTGAAGGTGTCGGAAGGATTTGGGCATGCGCGCGCGGCAGACGCGCGCGAGCGGCCACCATTGTATTATTTGGCAGTGATCGTGCCCCCCGCCCCCCCAGCAAGCGCGCAAGGACGTTCGAAAGATTGCGGCATGCGCTCGCGAGAGGCCCGCGCGGCCTCGTTTGTGGAAATGTTGAAAACCTACGGTTTTCAGAAGTCCGCAAGAGCGCGCGCATATTGCATTAGCTGGGGAGCCCATTGGTTTCTTATATGTTGTCTGGGACCTCGATCTTGAAACCCGAAAAGAAGGGGAAAAAAAATGGAAAGATTGCGACGTGCGCGCGCGACGACGCGCGCGTGTGCAATTGGCTTCACTTATTGCAAAGAGTTCTTGGATATTGAGTTTTATTGATGAACGAATCTGCGCGCACAGTATTTTACAGGGCTCCCTGGGATGGTATGGCTCCAAATGCACAATGGCAGATGAGGCAAAATCATGTGTAATTTGCCGTGTCCCAGGGGATGTCGATGGCCCCGGGGGGGTGGTAGGTTCTATTCTGTCTTAGAAAGGAGAAATAGACGTGATGCAATATATGTGGTGTGGTCGGGCGCATCGCAGGCCATGGCCATTCACAGCTGGCGAAACGGCATGTAACCTATATGTGCACGTTGCGTTGTGTTCAGTCGGTGGCACATGCTCGCCGATGGCAGGTTGGCTCGTGCACCGCCCTTGGATTGCAGGGTCTGTCTTCCATTGTTCTGACCTCCTGCTTCGACACTTTAAGTTACCACCTCGCGGTCCCAGCCTCTCTCTTTTCCTCCCTCCTCCTCGTCTCCTCCTCCTCATCATCATCCTGCTCCTCCTCCTCCTCCTCCTCGTCTCCTTCTCCTCCTCCTCCTCCTCCTCCTCCCCCGCTCCTCCCCTTGAACGTGGTGATGTTAATCCGGCGTGCCGCTCTAGAGCATTTCCGTTGCGATGATCGTCCGGTGTCCACTCCCATGTTTTCCCTCCCAAAAAAAGTCGATATGGTGTGATCTACTTGGCCAATATATGTGATGTAAGCTACGTGGTGAAATTCTACGTGGTGCAGTCTACGTGGTGCATTCTCCATGTGGTGCAATTGATTTTGAAAAATTTGGAATTGACAATTCCGTTGCTCGCGCAATCGCCCCACCCACCCACCCGCAACTTGATTTGAAAAGCCCATGCGGCGGCGATTGCGATGAGTGTTTGGTGTTGGCTGGTGCATTTCTGCGGCCGCGCCAGCCCGCGCACGCTCGCGCTCACAGCGGCCAGCTAGTATGGCGCGACCGACGAGGCCGCGGTGGCGTTGACCGCTGGGTACCTCCCAGCGGGCTCTTCAGCGCGAGTCGGTGACTTGGGCGGGCGCGGTATCATGGCGACGTCGATAACGGTAGACACGAAAATGATAGTAGCGATTATGTTGGCGATGAGGACGATAACAACGGCAAGGCCAACGACGGTGCCGATGTTGATCGCACCGATGGCGATGACGATGTCCTGGCGTCGGCGACGCAGGTTTTGCAAGAAGTTCGACATGCGCGCGCGCGCGCGAGCGGCCGTCAATGTATCATTTGACGGGAATCGTGCCCACCCACCCCCTCCCGCATGCGCGCAGGGGCGTTCGCATGATTTCGACCTGCGGCGCGAATTTGATGCAAGAGTTGAGGAGCCGCTGGTGCTCGTCAGAATTCGCACGAGCGCGCGCGCAGACCTTTTTTGAAAATTCGTGTTGGTTCCATGTGAATTATACGGGACGCACAAAGACATACTAGTACTATATGTTCTCCTTGGAGGCGCGCGTCCGACCCAAACATATAGTATACCCATCTTGTAGTATATCGTTTCCCGAGCGGTGTGGCCAGAAACCGCCCGCCACGACGCATATACTATAAGATGTCTCGGTGCGCGCATCGCCCCCCGGGGGGGCGACGCACATATAGTATAAGTATGTTGGGGTGACGCCGATTATATATTGCCGGGACACACGATGCTGAAATCCTTACGAAACCCCACGGGTTTTTGAGGGACGACGCACGGCGGCGACGGGCGGCCGCAAGCCGACCACGGGGCGCACAGACTCAGTGCCTGGCATCGCTCGGACGTGTGCATGTTTTCTTCGGCGAGGACCATCGAGGAGCATCCTTAATCATTTGGCGGAAAAAAAACGCATGAAACTGAAAAAAACACAGGGAGGAGTTGCGAGCTTCGAAGAATCAAGATCGTGACCAACATGGTGCGGCGACGGGCGGCCGCGACGGGCGGCGGCTGGCGGTCACAAGCCGGCCAGACTGCCACACATACCAAGCTCCTTAGAAGAGAAGCAAGAACCCCTAAGCGCAAGCACTGTTTGGGGAATGTACAGGTTCGTGTACTCATGCTATATCTAGCGACCTCCTGCCCATCCCCGCATCTTGCCTGGGTTGTCACTCAGAGGCCCCATAGATGTTTGCGAGTATCTCTCGGGAGACCGTTTCGGAAGCCTCTTGGAGGCGGTGTTTGATGAGGTTTGGGGCGTTTCGGGGGCCTCTTGGGGGCCCCATTAAGGTCTTACTTGGACCTCTCGGGGCCTCTTGGGGGCCTCCTGGGGCCTCTTGGGGGCATCTCGGAGGCCTCTGGGGGGGATCGTAGGACCATCTTGGGGCGGAGGGCTCACATTGTCATTTCGTGTTCACCCTCTTTGGACCCCTCTTTGGGTTGTCTTGGGGGTTTTTGGGGCCCCTCTTGGGGGCTCTTGGGCCGTGTTTGGGCGATCTTGGGCGCCTCCTGGGGCGTCTTGGACGCTCTGAAGACAAAAAGAAGATGGCAACGCCAAAACCATGCAAAAACCAATGGAGTTTGACGATTGCGGCCTCCAAGGCTGCCCTCCATTGCCTTCAAGACGGCCCAGGAGACGCCCAAGAGGGCTCCAGGATGGTCCTCGGGGCCATTTTCGGCCATGTTGGACATGCATGTCCCGAACAACGCGCTCTTGGCCTCTGAGAAAATCGCGCGGGGAACCCTCAGTAGCTCCCGGGAGCGCCCAGAACTCCGGGCTGCAGGTCCTCTCCAAAAGTATTTACAATATTTGACAGAGAACTCGCAGGGATTTGAGGACACTCCAGCTCGTGTCTCAGGGTGGCGGGACTTCATGAGCAGATGAAGATTCACAGTCATGCACATAAACATATACATATGCATAAACGGAAATGTGTGTAAATTGCATGTGTATATATATACACATATATACATACATATACATACACATACATAGACATATTCTTATCTTTGTCAGAGTGAGGGGGCTGAACCGAACGGTCATTCACTGTCCCTGGGTGCGTGGCTGAAGTGGAATTCCGCGAGGCGGATTCTCGTTGTTGTTGTTGTGGTTGTGGTTGTGGTTGTGGTTGTTGTTGTTGTTGGTGGTGGTGGTGGTGGTGTTGTTGTTGGTGGTGTTGTTGTTGTTGATGTTGTTGTTGTTGTTGTTGGTGTTGGTGTTGGTGTTGGTGTTGTTGTTGTTGTTGTTGCTGTTGCTGTTGTTGTTGTTGTTGTTGTTGTTGTTTTTGTTTTTGTGTTTGTTTTTGTTGTTTGTTGTTTGTTGTTTGTTGTTTGTTGTTTGTTGTTTGTTGTTTGTTGTTTGTTGTTTGTTGTTTGTTGTTTGTTGTTGTCGTCGTCCCACCCGCGACCCGCCCCGCGACCCACCCGCGACCCACCCCGCGACCCACCCGCGACCCACCCCGCGACCCACCCGCGACCCAACCCGC